CTTCGGGAGTAAAACCAACCACTCTCATGGCGTCTGCCACCACTTGGAAGTTGGCTTTGTCACCACCTATGGACTGAAGGGGACAGGGAGGGGGCAGGAGGGGAAATGGAGAGGGGGAAGGCAGAGGTGGGGAGAGAGAAGGTGAGATAAAATACTCATCAGTATTTGGCTGAAAACAGCCGCTCCAGAGCCAAGACATCAAGCCAGATACTGGAGGAATGGTTGGAGTTTTTGCAAGCTTGCATGCTGCCTGTAGTATATTTGGTCGGGGAGGGAATTTTCTGGGGTGGCTGTCCATCTATCCAGCAGTAACCTGTCATTCCTTTCCTGCCTCTGATTTCAGAGAGAGCCCTACCTCTGTTTAACTCTTTCCCCCTCTCTTTTTTGAGGTCTGTTTTTGAAAGTAGGCGTGTTAGTCAGTTTGCTGTTTGATCTGCTCAATCGTAAGGAATGAAACCTTTCATTCTTTCTCAGAGTGAGTCATCAAGACTGTAAGTGCCAGTTAAGGAGGAAAGGGGTGGACTGCTCTCGGAGGAAACTTGAAGCTATTCTCCTCTGTGAATTCTAGAGGAATCGAACCAAAAATTCAAAACTCTGCAAGAATGCTTTCTGGGGTGCAGCAGCTCCTGTTATCTCCCCACCATGCTACCTATGGTGGATAGAGGCTTCTGGGAATTGTAGTTTTCAAACGCCAGTTTACTCTGGAGGCTTATTAGACATCCGAATAATAGACATTCCATGGTCATAGAAGAAAGTGTGTGCCAATCGGCTGCCTACCCTAGCTGCAGCTGCGTGAACCCTGAAATGTAGCAAAGCCAGCTGCACACATCGAGGTTTGGATGTGTTCCTCCCCCCTCCCCCCCCGGCCAGTCTCCACCCATACTGTATATCCTATGCCACCAAGATATTTTTAAAATGCAATCAGCCCCTTTGGGTGGAGCCCTCCAGAGCTGGGCTGACAAGCCACCAGTCCTGTTTAAAACGGAGAACTCTCCCCCAGATGGTTTTCCAGGGACCTTGGTGGGCAAAACCAGCCAGCGACTGCTGCTTTTTGGAGGAAAAAGCATTTGTGCTGCTAGAAATTCCACTTCCGTCTGATCAGTTGGGAATTCAGCGCCTTGGATCTGGGAATGAAACACCAGTGCCCCCGAGTGGTCGTTTGGGGGACTGCAAGAGCGGCGACTAATGACACAAGGGGAAAACGTGTTTCTTCTTCTTTTAATGTTATCCCTCCAGGCACACAAATCTTTCAGTTCTACATTCCCGAGACATAAGATCTCAAATCAAAGCTGCGCTATCTCCCAGTTGGCCCTCAACAAAACAAAATCAAGCTAGCTGGACGTTGCAAGCTCCTGTCAGAATTAGAAACCAGACTTTTCCTCTTAAGGAATCCCGGTTTCAGGTTCTCAACTCGAGAGGCCCTCATGGTCTTTCTTCTTCCCTATCCTTAGCAATTAACTAATACATGGATTCTGAACTAAAAAAGGGTTCGACCCATTCCAGGGAGGAAGTTCTACCAATGGACACGGGGCGTCATTACTGGCACTCATATCGACCTTGAAATGCGGTGGCCCCAGACTTTTACATTCATGTGCGCTCTGTCCCTCCACCACACTAGAATTTCCAGGGTCAGAATTATACACGTCAAAGACATTTCAGAGAACCGTCGCAGATTCCTGAAGCATAGCCCACCGAGAGCGTCTGAATGAAATTGGAACGGAATCCTTGGTCTCTCCCTCAGAAAATCCACTTTGCACCTTCTAGAAGGTTCTGCGGAAGGCTGCTCGGAAGCAATGGGTTTGTGCAACTCGTAAAAATAAAAAAGAGATTTAGGGTTCCAAGAGGGTGAACACTCTCCGTGACTCCCCTCTGAGGCACCAAGGCCTCCATTTTGACTTCCTATCTTCATTGTGAGCTGCACAAAACTCAGTCTAACTGGAAGAAAGCAAAACTGGGCAGGGAACTACTCTTTGAAAGGTATCGTCCCAAGGCCAAAAGAGTAGTTAGTTATCTCTACAGGTAGACATGGGGAACGAATATAAAAACGAATTGCAATATTTGTCGAATATTGCTGATTCGTCAGATATCCGTCCCTTTGTATACGTCAGTTCAAGAGAACCCAACGAATACGAAGGGGTGAATATAATCGTTTTGTATTTGTCCATTCGTAGCAGATTCCTTCTTTGCCTGTGCCCCTGCAGATCAACTGTTCCTTGGGGGCATAGGCAGAGAGGGAAGGCTAGGCTGCCAGAAGGGAAACCCGGATGCAGTTTGCAAAGATGGCCGGGGAGGGGGGGGCTTCCCTTTGGGCAGCCAGGCTTGCCCTGCCTGTCTATGGCCTGCCAAACAGTTGATTGGAGGGGGGGTTGTCAGCTTTTTGGACCTGACCAACCGATTCGCAGGTTTTTGCTTCACCACAGGGAAATTCGTGGTCTGTGGTTCATAAATCTTGACGAACCACGAATCAAGACAAACCGCCATTTGAGTGGTTCACTCCCATCTCTAGTTATCATTATTTTTTTAAAACCTTCTTTTTAAAGGGTGCACTTTTTTCTTCTTCCTCTGCCTGAAGCTTACGTTGCTGTTGGTACCTTCCCTGGTAAACTGGTAGTCTGCAGGATCTCTGCTGAGATGCATAGAGTCCAGTAACGCATCCGTGGCTCCCAGCAGTAACTATGAGAAACAAAGATTTGTACACCTGAAAAAAATCACATCTCTGGAAGGAAATCATGATACACGGCGCAAGAGGCGGAAGGAAGGGCTGTCGGTTCTTAGCGAACTTGCGAGATTGCTGTCAGTTTTCTAGTATGACTAAAATGTTAAATCTGGTACCAGACTGGAAATTCAGCTATATTGTGTGTGTCTGTTTTTTTTAAAGCATAGTAAGTTACTAGACCTCATGAACACAGGAGGGCTCTCTATGGTACTAGGTTCATTTGCAATTGCTATTGTTTTGTTTGCATGTCTGGGGAGAGGGGCTTGTGGGATTTCCAGTTTCAGGAACCAGAGTAACTCAGCTGTCTTTTGGTATCACACCCCTTGACGTGGTTTATACTAGACAGATGAAGATGGCTGGGGGGCAGGTCTTTGGACTGCAACTCCCAGAATTCCCCAGGGAGCCATTTAGGGAACTGTAGCTCAGAAAATATATATATACAACCACTCTAAATCCTGGCGCCCATAATTTCTACAATGCTCCATGAATTTGGGGTTTGGAAGAAGAGGGAGGGCTCCACCTTCGTCATCAAGATGGATTTTGGCTGACTCCAGGTGCAGCGCCCAAGCCGCTCTGGAATTAACCCAGGAAAGCAAGAATAAGGAGGGACCATCCCAGGAAGGACTTGAAGGGATGCTAGGTTTCCCACCCACCCTTTTTTCTGGAAAGTCCACTCACCTGATAGAAGGCATGGAAGTTCCTTTCTCCTGGCTGCTGCTTGAGGATGCGAGACTGCAAGGGAACGAGAAAGGGAGCCGAAAGTAACTTTTCTGATTCTGCCCCTACCTATACGGTATGACCCAGAGTGCGTGGGCTTTCTAGTCACACAAGACTCTTGTTCGGAGAGGACAGAAAGGTGGTCCGAGGGGAGCATTCACTGGGTCGAGTTCATACCAAGGATGATGCCTCTAAATCTCAGCTGTTGAGGAACACAAGCCAGCAGAAAGGATGTCCTGCTTTGAAACCTTGCTTTGGGTGTTGGGATCCGGCGCAGCAGGAGCAGAAAGGCCACGCAAGAGTCACCTTGCTTTGACTCAACACCGTTCTTAAGCGATTCGGGCACTACCAGCACTGGGGGGATTCCTTGATTACTTCGCCACTGCTCAACAGAAAGGCTCAATTTGAAGGTTGCTGTGGGTTTTTCGGGTTCTTTGGCCGTGTTCTGGAGTTTGGCTGTGGGGAACACGGCGAGAGAGCCCGAAAAACCCACAACAACCCTCAGATCCTGGCCATGAAAGCCTTTGAGAATACGCTCAGTGTGAAGTTTTGCAGACCGGCCTTGTGAGGTGCAAAGGGTTAGGGTGCATGGAGATTAGTTGAGCCTTTGCATACTTTCTGCCTTGAGCAGAGAACTGGATTAGATCGGTGGTTCTCCAACTGGGGTCCCTGGGTGTTCTTGGACTGCAACTCCCAGAAACCCCGGCCAGCACAGCAATTGGTGAAGGTTTCTGGGAACGGCAGTCCATGAACACCAGGGGATCCCGCAGGATTAGATGACCTGAAACCTTTCCCCCAGCTCTAAAATACTAAGGCGTTCTGTTGTTGTTGTTGTTGTTGTTGTTGTTGTTGTTGTTGTTGTTGTTGTTGTGTGCTACATATTCACTTCCTGATTATGACAACCCAATTAAATAATGGCCTCCGAAACGCCCTGCCATCAACAGCTGGTGTTGCAAACTTAAGGGCATAGTTTCCTTTATCAAGTCAGTCCCTTTCCGGTTGGGTCTTCTTCTTTTCCTGTTGCCTTCAACTTTGCCCAACATTATTGCCTTTTCAAGTGAGCCTTACTTGCTTGCGAGTTGTGCAAAGTAAAATAACCTCTGCGTGGTTCGGATAGCACAGATTCATGACGTTATTACTATGCAATTTGACGAGCATAATTTCAGACACGAATACCCTATATTAACACACCCTGCCTCTCAATTTCAGATACACCTGGCTTAATCTCCTGTGGGGAAGTACAGGAATGATGGGGATGTTATCGGGGGGTGTAGAGAAAATCTGCCTCCCCACATGCCCCCCTCAATACCTTCTCCAGGAGGTAGTTGTTGATGTGGCCCCCAGTGGGCTCCCCTTTGAAGTCAAAGTTGATGTCCATGTACTTGCCAAATCGGCTGGAGTTGTCGTTGCGGTTGGTTTTGGCATTGCCGAAGGCCTCCAGGACGCAGTTGGATTTGAGCAAAACATTCTTCACCCTGAGGGGGACCCAGAGAGACACAGACGTGGGTCCATACGGCGATGGAGCAGGCAGTATTTATAGCCATACATATTAATAACTCTATAGAAATCTAGAATGGGTTATTTAAAAAGTGGTTATTGACAAGATGCTAGGGATCCGGGTATTAAGAGCAGCTTTAAAGCGTTTGGTCTATACCCTTGTTCTAAACGTAAGGAAGGAAGGACGGACGGACTCTGGCCTATGTATCTCAGCTGGCATTTTAATTCCGGAAACCTGGGGCCCCCCATCGATGAACCACGATCCCTCATAGTCACCTTTCTGGTCTCCCTTGGTGTTGCAAGGTCTAACACCATGGATTGAGAGAAATAGATGGGATGGATAATTGGATTCCGACATGCATCGAAGTCTTAAATCGTTAAGCACTTTAAACTGTCAGGGGTGAGGAGAACTGCCCCCCCATAGAGCATGGCAAAGGCCAACTTAGCCAGGCCGTCAGCCTCCGATAGGTCTCAGCCCCCAACCGTCCAGCAGCTCCGGCGAATTATGATCACCAGATCACGTCCGATGGTCCAAGATCCATACGTTTTAGATGTGGAAGTAGAAGAAGATAGCTTTGGCTCCCCAGGGCCAGTGAAACAACATCGGTTGGGGAAATGGTTCAGCACCTTGGACAGAGGCTTTAAAGTTTGCACTAAAACCCGGAGCTGTTTGCCGTCCCCTTGGAATCCGAGTCACCAGACCGCCTCCACAGGCGAGCGAGGTTCCATGCCAAGGGGTTCACCCTGGCTGCCAGCTGCGGGGCCTGCCCGTTATGGACGGGTGCCTCTGTTTTGAAAAGCCAGCCTGTTCTCACTCAGCCACCTACCTTTCCACCTCAGCCCTCTGCGAAGGGTTTGTGATGGCCGCGATATATTGCATGATGTACTTGCTCGCCTCCGTCTTGCCAGCCCCACTTTCACCTGGAAGGCGGATCCAGACAAAGGGAAGGCAAGCCAAGTGAGTTTCCCTGAATGTCAGGGAGTCCTCACCTTGCTGCCTTCCGGATTACTGTATTAGACTACAGATTCTATTATCCTCAAGCTCATGGAAATGTGGGGGAATTCAGTCCAGCCCCACATCTAGAGGGCAGCAAGAGGGCAGCACAGTAGCCCAAACTATGGGGCCAGCAGATTGTGTTCAGGGCGACCATATCATTTCAAACTGCAAAAGATGGGTTAGATTTGTGAATTCAAACCCACCTTACAGCAGCCCTGCCTCCGTGGCGCGGCTGTTTCCTCTGAGGCGGCTGCACTTCAACTGACAGGCCCCTGGGACCTCAGGGGAGGTGAAGCAGCCGAGGGAGAGGATTCTTCTCCCCTGGGACCTGGGAGTGCGCAGCCGGCAGACCTCGTGTGGTTCTCCAGAACAACCTCCCCCCGCCCCAATGACAGCTTCACTCGGCTTGTTTCTGTCCTTGGCATGGCTCCCTGCACCTGCGAAGGAGACTGAACGGAAGGTAAGGCTTTCAGACAGAATTGTGCTAAGGAAGGAAGGAAGGAAGGAAGGAAGGAAGGAAGGAAGGAAGGATGGAAGGAAGGAAGGAAGGAAGGAAGGAAGGAGAGGAGAGGAGAGGAGAGGAGAGGAGAGGAGAGGAATGAAGGAATGAAGGAATGAAGGAATGAAGGAACAAAGGGAAGGAAAGGGAAGGAACGGAAGGAAGGAACAAAGGGAAGGAAAGGAAAGGAAGGAAAGAAGATTACAACATTGTAGAACACAGCCCTTGTTCTGCTAAACATGAAAAGCATCTACTAATATGATTCTTCTCTGAAATGGGTACGGTGTATTGCACCCTGCAAAGGGAAAACATGGAAAGTTATGGTACTTTAAGAAGACGTGCAAAAGCCATCCTATGGGAATACCAAATCGGACTTTCCCGGATTCTACTAACATGTGAACGAGAGCGAGCGGGTCACGGACGGGCCCCTCTACCTGAGATGACGATGCAGGTATCTTTCGCCCGGCGTTTCATGGCCTTGTAGGCGGCGTCGGCCACGGCGTAGAGGTGGGGCGGCCTCTCGTAAAGCTCCCGCCCCCGATACTGCTCGATCACCTCCTTCCCGTAGAGCTCCATCTGCTTGTAGGGGTTCACGGAGACAACCACCTCTCCTATGTAGGTGTAGATGCGCCCCTTCTCAAACCTCGAGGGAAACCCAGAGAAACTGCAGTTAAGGTCGAGAGGTCAAGAGAGGTTGGGGAGGGGTGGAGGGAATGGTCCCTATTTTGGACCCAAAGACGTGGGGGCAGAATCTGTGGAAGCTTGCACCGCATAAAACGTCTTCGTCTTGAAGGGGCCACAAAGCTCTTGACCAGCCCAAAACCCCTGGGGAGAAGCAAGGCCAGCCTTTATCCCCGAGTGTAAATTACAGCCCTCAAGAAAACCCCATAAAATGTGGATTTGGGGTCAGAGGGCAAGGGCCCAGATCAGCAGAACGGGCTCCCTGAATGACGAGTGCCGAGTCTCCGAGTGCCGGCTGAAGTCTGAGGGAAGTTCCGTCTTTCTCTGGGCCTTTCCTCAGGAAGGCAGATCTCCAGGTGGGGGGGGGGTGCCGGGTGGGGAGAAGGCTGGGCGTCTGGGAGTGAAGGTGGAAGGTCTAAAAAGGCCGAGTGCCCACCTCGCCTGCACGGCGCTAGCTGGGTGTGAAGGGGGTTTTGTTGTGTGTGTGTGTAATGGGCAACAAGGGGGATCAGGGGGCTGGAAACCAAGCCCTGTTAGGAAAGACCGAAGGAATTTGGCGTGTTTAGAGAAAAGGAGAGAGAGGGGGGAAACCAAGCCCTGTTAGGAAAGACTGAAGGGATTTGGTGTGTTTAGAGAAAAGGAGAGAGGGATGATAAGACATTTCAAATAACTGAAAGGCTGTCATCCAGAGGAGGGGCAGGATCTGTTCTCAATTGTCCTAGAGGGCAAGACATGCCACAGTGGGCTCAAGTGAAAGGATGCCAGATTTTGGTTGAATATTAGGAAAAATTTCCTCTCTCTTAGAGCAGTATGACAACAAAAATTTCCTCTCTCTTAGAGCAGTATGATGATGGAACGAAGTATCTCTAGGAGTGGTGAGCGCTCCAACGCTGGAGGCCTTCAAGAGAAACTTAGACAACCTCCTGGCAGAGATCCTTCGACTTGGATTCCTGCCTGGAGCAGGGGGTTGGACTCGATGGCCTTAAGAGGCCCCCTTCCAACTCTACGATTCTATGATTCTAATTATTGTGCCAGGGCAACCCTAGGGCACCAAGCAATCAGGAGGTGGGGGACAGTGGGTCCATGCATTTGGGTCCCTCCTGTCTTTCAGCGGGCACCTTTGGTTGCCAGCCAGCCACCAGAAATAATCTCCCACCAGCTCTGCGCTATGTAAACCGCCCCAGGTAGTGTTTCACTAAGTCAAAGATCAATCAATAAAGCAGTAAAATGAATATTCCCTGGGTAAACTGGCTTATAGAAAATTTCTGGGCCCATGTACATAGGTTACCCATATGCCCCCTCCCACCATCAGTTGGCACCAAAGCCCCTCACTCTCCACATCTCTGCCCCTTGACATCACACACACACAAACACTCTTTCTGCAAAGTTTGGCCCCCAAATGACTTGGAATCGGATGCCACCAACTTCTTAACTGTGGCCCAAACATGGCACGGTTCACTGGCAGTGACCCTGTTTTGGAGGAATGGGGGAAATAGACCTTATCGCCTGAAGTAAGGGAGGGTCAGGAACTCAAGACTGTGTGGCTGGCTGGCCAGCAGAGGAAATGTCATCCAGGAATTAACTTTCCCCAAAGTTTTGGGTTCACTGGCACAGCCCAGTTTTGGAGGAATGGGGGAAATAGACCTTATCGCCTGAAGTAAGGGAGGGTAAGGTTAGGAACTCAAGACCAGCTGAGGCCAGCTGGCTAAGCTGGCTGAGGAAATGTCATCCAGGAATTAACTTTCCCGAAACTTTTGGTCTGCCGTAAATGCATGCCCTTAACCCCTGTGCAAGTGAGAGGAAGCAAGCACAAGGCAAGAGGAGAGAAGGGGACGACCGAGGATGTGATGGCTGGACAGGGTCATCGAAGTGACCAACATGAATTTGACCCAACTCTGGGAGGCAGCGGAAGACAGGAGGGCCTGGCGTGCTCTGTCCCATGGGGTCACAAAGTGCCAGACATGACTTAACAACTAAACAACAACAGGTAAAGTTTTGGTCTGCCGTAAAAGCATGCCCTTAACCCCTGTGCAAGTGAGAGGAAGCAAGCAAGACGGCTCTCCCCTCTCTCCATTACGGGTGGGAATCTCCTCGTTTTAAAGGTTGAGAAATGTTTGCACCTTCCCATCAGCAGAGGAAGGCTGGCAGGAAACTCCCCACAGTGCGTCAAACAGAGATGAGGAAGAAGCGTAACCACAACGGCCAGGTCTGCGCATGAAAGAGGGGTGGTTCCGTCCTTGCCTGACCCCCTCCTTCTCCAGGCCTCCAGGAAGAGGCTGACATCTTCCCCGCCACCCCACCTAAGCCTCGGCCGCTGTGTCCTTGAGGTGCCCCTCCTTCCCAGAGGCACTGCGAGCTGGCGCCAGAGGCAGGGTCTTCTCTGTGGTGGCAACCGAGAGGGTGCAAAAATGGCTCCCAACGCCTTTTTGACTTGCTTGCCCTCTGCTAGGTGGGCACAGGCTGTTGCGGTTTTGCTGTTGTGTTCGTCGTGGTTTTAATTATTTTAGTTCTCTGCAAGCCCTGACCCCCTCCTTCTCCAGGCCTCCAGGAAGAGGCTGACATCTTCCCCGCCACCCCACCTAAGCCTCGGCCGCTGTGTCCTTGAGGTGCCCCTCCTTCCCAGAGGCACTGCGAGCTGGCGCCAGAGGCAGGGTCTTCTCTGTGGTGGCAACCGAGAGGGTGCAAAAATGGCTCCCAACGCCTTTTTGATTTGCTTGCGCTCTGCTAGGTGGGCATAGGGTGTTGCGGTTTTGCTGTTGTGTTCGTCATGGTTTTAATTATTTTAGTTCTCTGCAAGTTCACTCAGGCCATGTGCAATGAAGAGCGACAGGAGAAAATCAAATGGCTTTGACATTGTGTGAATAAAGAGATGATAATTCACTTCTTCCTCCCCCCCCCCTTCAGATGAGGGCTTGAAACGACGCCTCCTGGAAAAGCTCAATCTGCATGGCCGGTGGCTGAGAGGTTCCAGGCCTTATCAACATACACGCAACACACACACACACACACCCTATAGCAGTTCATGGGGCACTGGAGAATAAAGGTTTGCCATATAAGCTGTTTGGGGGTTCAAGGGGTGCTACCAAGCTGAGGCTCTCCATAAGGTCCTCCCTGGCCATTTCTTTTCCAGGGTAAATAGACCCGGTTGAGTTCCTTCAACCTTCCATTAAATAATGGGTTTTTCATGCCCGTAGCGCCCCCCCATCTCGTGGGACCCCCTTCCAGTTTTCTTATAGTTTAGTGCCCAGAATGGAATATGTATCTGTATAAAATTTCAGGTGCGTTAGCCGAATGAAGGGGAGGGGAAGAAACGTCATGACAGGCAAAAGCCATGACGCCCCCCACACAGAGTCCAATTAAGCAGCGGAACTCACTGCCACTGGATGTGGCAATCCAGCTACTGGTTTAGATGGCTTTCAAAGATTTAGCCAACGCTTGGAGCAGATGCTACAGTTTGGAGGAGAAAAAAATCCTTTTTGCACTCAGGACTTCCTGAATTCTCCCCCACCAGATGGCCATCCAAAATACTTAGGATGCTGAAGTCCAAACATGGAGCATTTCCAAATTGCGCCAGCTCCCTGCCATTAGGGACGGTCTCCTAAGACAACCATCGGCTCGGTGGCGTGGCTGCTCTCCCTGCTTCTTAGCAGCCCTTCCTCGCCGCATCCTGAGCCGCACGTTGCTCACAGGTGACGTGAAAAGACGCCATCTCTTGGTGGGGCTCGTCCCTGCCTCTGTGTCCCCCCCCCTCTGCCAGTGCCCCTTCTTCCTAGGGGTTACCTGAGTTTGAGGTTCTCCATGAAGTCCTCCATGGTCACCTGGTCCAGAAGGACAAAGTCTGCTTTGCCGAACTCCAAGCTCTCCTGCTCAGCCATGCCTCCGTCCCTGGAGGTGGTCGGCCACGCAGGTGGGAGCTCCTTGAGGGACCCCCAAGAGACAAAGAGAGAGAGATGGACCGGCTTTGTGGGGCGGCTGTCCCTCTCGCCAGCAAAGCGAAAGGGGATGACTCAACGCCCCAAGAGAGCGGCTGGTGGGGAGGACTTCCTGCCTTGAGGTTGCTTCTGAGCCGGGAGGGTGGGGGC